AAAAAAAAAAAAAAAAAAGAAAGAAAGAAAGAAAGAAAAAAAAAGAAAAAAGAAAGAAAGAAAAAAGACTTTAAGAATCCAACTACACAAACTAGTAGGAGGGTGAACTGTGGGGTCAATGGGACTTTTAGCTTTAGGGACAATTATAGCCTGCATGTTCAGAGAGAAAGTACACAGGAGAGAGAATCAGATATCAAAGACACTCATTAAACTCCTGCTAATGGGATAAGGATAAGCTGGATGTGTGGCTTGGAACTGAGGAAACAGAGGCAGGAAGATTTCCTCAAGTTCAAGACCAGGCTGGGCTACATAGTGAGCAGCAGGCCAGGCTAGGCCAACTTGGGCTGTAGTGAGACTCTGCCTCAGGAAATGTCAAAAGGTGGGGAGGAATAAAGTCAAATAAAGCCACCCAAAGTCACCAAAGACATCAACTAGTTTAGTTGGCAAGAGAAATGAGGCTGGGCAGGTCAACTGGGTTAGACCTTATTCTGTGGGCATTAGACGGTCAAAGAAAACACTGCCAACTGTGTTTGTTTGTTTGTTTGTTTACCCAAGACAGGGTTCTTTCTGTTTAGTCTAGGCTGTCCTGGAACTTGCTCTGTAGGTCAGGTTGTCCCTTGTACTAAGAGATCTACCTGCCTCTGCCTCCTGAGTACTGGGATTAAAGGCATGTAGCAATTTTTTTTTTTTTTAATGAAAATTTATGGCCAGAGAAAGATGGCTTAGGAGCAACAAATTTGCAACAAAAGTATGGTGATCTTTGTTGATCCCTAGACTCACATAAAGTTAGAAAGACAAAACCAACTCTATAATAAACTTGCCCTTTTACCTCTGTATACACAATGTGCCATCACATATTGTGCATACACAATAAATTAAGAAGTCATTCCAAAAGACAAAAGTGAGTGAAAATTTGTATAAGCAATGACTTGAAGAAGAGTGAGAGGTCTGACAGACTATAAAACAAAACAAACCAAAAGGCAGGTTGGAGCATGACTTTAAGTTCATTGGAAAGACAAGTTAATTCTGGGTTCTGTAAACCCAGAATTTAGAAGCAGGGCTATGAAGAACAGGAGTTCAAGGCCCGCCTTGTCTACACAGTGAATTCAAGGCCACTATTAAGATGAACCATGTAACCAGGCATGGTGGCACATGCCTGGATTTCTAACACTCGAGAGGCTAAGGTAGAGAATCTCATGCTTTTAGTCAGCTTGGGATACATTCGGAGACCTTATCACAAAGCAAAATCAATCAACACAAAATAAGAACGGCATTTTTGACAAGTTGAAAGTGTATGTTCAGCAGTTTATTTTAGTGTGATTTTCAAAGTTGTTGTCCCTTCAACCCTTATTTTGGCCCTGCTGAGGATGACTTAGGCCTTGCACATCTTAGGCAAGTGTTCTAACAGCCAAGTGCATTTAAAATGCTTTTGAAACATGGGAGACATCCAGTGGGAAGATCTGCAGGGCTAGAAATTTTGTAGTCAGAATGGCTAATGAAGTAGCCATCGCCAAGTGGCATGTTAGCCACTCCAACTGTACCCTAACACACTCCTTTTCAAACAAGAGTCATCTATAGGTCAGGACACCAAATTGAGTCACAACCAGTATCTTTAAAAATGAAATAGTGGGAGATAAAATATCTCTGGTATTTAAGAGTGCTTGTTATATAATCATGAGAACTGGAGCTCAAATTCCAGCAACCTGCATATCAAGCTAGGCATCCCTAAATGCTCACAGCTTCTGCTCTGAAGGATGCAATATTCTCTTTACCTCTACACATGTACAAGTGCATGCACGTGCAATACACTCATGCACACACACACACACACACACACACACACACACACACACACGGAGTATGTATTTTTAAAAATAGATGGAATGGGGGCTGGAGAGATGGCTCAGAGGTTAAGAGCACCGACTGCTCTTCCAGAGGGCCTGAGTTCAATGCCCAGCAACCACATGGTGGCTCACAGCCATCTATAATGAGATCTGGTGCCCTCTTCCGGCCTGCAGGCATACATGCAGGCAGGATATTATATACATAATAAATTTTAAAAAATGGATGGATACATACATACATACATACATACATACATACATACATACATACATACATACAAAATCAAGCCTGATGGGGCAGAGTTTGATTCCCAGGGCCCATATAATTGGAAGGAGAGAACCAACTTTAGAAAAGTATCCTCTAACCTCCACATGCTTGCCATGGCATGCTCCTTAAATCAAGCCTAATGTTACTGGCCTACAATCCCATAACTTGAAATAAGAGTTTAAGGTCAATCTGGGCTATTTGAGACCTTTTGTCATCACCAAAGAAGCAGCTGCAGCAGATATGGAAAACAAGGAAGACAGGAAATGCCTATAATCCTAGCACTCGAAAGACAAACACAAAAGGTCAGAGAGTATAAGGTCATCTTCAGACTCAGCTACATGAGACCTTGTCTCAAAAAACAAAATAATGGTCAAATCTTTCTTTTTAGATGACAATTTATAGCAGGAAACATGGGTCAGGAAGTAAAAGAATGCCGGGTGGTGGTGGCGCACACCTTTAATCCCAGCACTTGGGAGGCAGAGGCAGGCGGATCTCTGTGAGTTTGAGGTTAGCCTGGTCTACAGAGTGAGTCCCAGGACAGCCAGGGCTATACAGAGAAACCTTTTTTTGAAAAACAAGCTCTTTTACCTCAAAGAGCTTATCACCCAGCCTGTTGACTCAAATTCAATTCCTGGAAGTTATATAAAGATAGAAGGAGAACACGTACCTTCATGTGCAATAATAATTAAAAATAAGTACAGTAGTCACAAAAATAAAATCTCAAAAGAGATAGAACAGGATAGAAAGCACAATCAGTGCATCATATATAGTAAGGTTATTGTTTCCTGTGTGTGCACTGTAACAAATGACAACATGAAGATTTTCTGCCATAGGAAGGACCAAGGAAGGGAGGAAGGGATGGAGGGTAGGGAGAAAGAGGATAGAACCCTAACTCACACGTCTAAACAACTATGGCAAGGCAGTAATTTCACAGCTGAGTAAGATGTAGAAAGAAAAATAGGTTCTCTTATCACTCTTAACTAACTTCCCAAGGTACAGTCTCTCCACTTACCTCCAGAGAAGACTCTGGTGTTCCCACTATTGAAAGCCAGGCAGAAAATGTTGGAATGGTGCTCTCCCTTCAGCTGTATGGGCTTGACCCTGGAATGGATAGCTTGTTCCATATGCCATAGCAGAACTCGGCGGTCATCTCCTCCTTTAGCAGGCAACAAGAATCTAGGGTTAAAACCATTGAGATTGCAAGGCTAACACTTGGTTTTGCCACCTCAACTCCCATCCTTTCTGAACCTACACCTACCCAACTATGGAAGATTCTGAGAAGGCACGCAAATCCAGGATTTTTATCTGTGAGGGACATGAACTCTAAACCACCACATTCTCCCAGGTATTGTTTGGGTTTTACTTTTGTTGTCTGGTTGACTGTTTTATCTTGTGCACACTAGGCAAGTGCTCTACCACTTTATTCCCATCCCTTTCCCAGTTTTGACAAACAGATAATACAAAATTAAAATAGATAAGCACTGACATTGAGAACACACTCCTCACCAAATATTGATCCTCCTGTCTTTCTAGAGACCTACTGTTTAAATATTTGTTTATTACCTGGAATCTTTCTAGTAGAGTCTTGGGAAGGGAGAGGGGACTAGATAAAAGAACTTGAACTGGTTTCTACAGCTTGCAACCAAAGAACTCTTAGTGTTTCTAGCATAATAGTTTGCAAAGCAATCTTTGATGTGGTGTTAGTGACTATGGGACAGTACACAGACAACCAAGAGCCTGCTGGACACTACTAAAAAGTTGATGTAACCCAGTTCTCATGGGAGCCCGACTCTTACCTCTGTGTAATTTTCAGTGCTCTGAATTGCAAAAGCAATAGCATATTGTATGAACTAGCTCCTAGAGAATGAGAATATACTTATTCTACACATTTATAGATGTCTGGGAGGAGGAACAAACTATTAGGAACAAGCTATTAATAAAGACTATTCTAGGAAACAGAAGTGGAGATTGCATTTCCCACTTGGTACACACACACACACTCCCTCTCTCTCCCTCTCTCTCCTGTCCCCTACTGGGGCATGAACTTAAAGCCTTGTGCATGCTATCTATTATCACAGAGCCTGAACTCAAAGCCTTGTGCATGCTATCAAGGTACAAGTGTTCACCACTGAACTAATCATACCCATTCCTACTTAAAAACATATATGTATGTAGGTGTGTGTATCTGCAGGTAGTGTGTGCATAAGTGCAGCTTCCTACAGAAGCCAGAGGTGTTGAATCCCCTGGAACTGGAGTGACAGATAGTTGTAAGCTGCCTGACATGGTGCTGAGAACTCAACTTGGGTCTTCTAGAAGAGCACCCAACGCTCATAACTGCTGTGTCATCTCTCCCATACAAGACAATAACATACCCCACCCCCCAAATTAAGTTACAAGAGCAGCAAATCACAGCAACTCTGAGCCTCTGGCTCTCCACCAACACAAGATTAAAAACTACAATGAATGAAATAGCCGAGCTAGTGATGAAGCTGTGCTAACTACATACTTAGCACCACTTAAAGTATGCCCATACAAGGTCATGCCACAGGACATTAAGCCACTAGACTTAAGAGCCAGTGCAGAGATATCCAAGGTCTTTACTAAGGATTTAAAAAAAAAAAAAAAAAAAAAGGGTGTACCATCATCCATTTGTGTAAAACAAGTTTTTAAAAGCTACACAGTAGCAGGAATTTTGGCAGTTTTGTTCTCTGTAGTATTGCCTGCACCTAAGTGAGTGAACCAAAAAGCAAGTGCTGGGCCTCTCCCGCCCAGCAGTGAAGAGCAGGTATACTACTTTCACAGAGGAACAGGGTTCAGTGCTCAGCATTCCCATCAGGTAACTCCAGTTCCAAGAGGATCCATCACCCTCCTGTGGTCTTCCATGGCACTGCACTCATGTACAAAGACACACAAGACACACAAAACTGAAAATCTTCTTTAAAGTAAGTCCTGAACATGATTATAGGTGCACATTTTTGCTTGTACCCCCATAGCCATGCCTAGATGACTTTATGGGAAGTTGTTACAGTGCCCACTGTGGCTCTTAGGCTGGTATAGGGACACTTCTTTTCAATATGGTAAAAATGGAAAAGAACTACATTGTTAAGAGAGAAAAAGTTGCAGAACAGGAAAAGAATTAGACACTATCTTTTAAGTTATTCAAATTATATAAAGGACCCCTAGAACTAGATAATGAGAAATAATCTGAGTATCTGAAAGGGGGCACGAAACATACATTCACTGCTCTTCTCCTGACTGTGGATATCATGTGACAGCTACTTCAAGCTCCTGTCACCTGGGTTTCCCCTTCCATGATGAACTCTACCCTTGAACTTTGAACCTAAATAAACTCTTTCTCCCTTAAAAGAAAAAACATCAATCTGACTTTAAAATGACAACTACATCATCAAAAAAAGATAAGCAAGGGGAAATAAGCAATACACCATTAAGGAAATGAAAAAATATATACATATATGTTGCACAAATCTGGGTAACACCAAATGAGCAAAGACTGAGCATCTACTGATAGGAGATTGATGGGATAGACAGCCACTTGAGAACATACTATGATGGTTTCTTATAGAACTAGAGACACTTTTATTATGCAATCCAAGAATTGTGTTCTTTTGCACTTACCCCAAACTGCAGGACAAAGTAAGGGGGAGAGGAGATACAGAGAGAGTGCAGGGAGACAGGGAAGGAATTAGTGGGCTTTTGAGGGGTGCGTGGAAACCTAGTGCAGGAGAAACTGCCTGGAATCTGTGAAGGTGATCCTAATGAGGACTCCTAGTAATGTTAGTTACAGAATCTCAAATGGCCATCTCTTGGTGCCAGGGGAGGCTTCCAGGTTACATTTAATTGAGTTGTTGGCGAAGGGGGTCCCACAGAAATCCCCAAACAACCTAAGCTGTTTCTAAGACAAAGGGTTACTCTCTGTAAACCTATAGAGAGGGACTATTGCTAAGGGCAACTTTCATGCAACTCAATGAACAGGAAGAAGTCAAGGGGTGGAGCTTTCACCCCTACCATTCTGGTCTGTTTGGTGTGGGAAGAGTACATTGCAGGGAAATAGTGGTACAGAACTTGTGGGAGGAGCCAACCAACATCTGATTTCATCTAAGGTCCACTCTGGGAGAAGGAACTCATACCCAACACTGCTAGGACGACCAAACACCAGAGACTAAATATCCCAGAGACCTAGGATGAAATAAAAAAAAAGAGCATCAATAAAATGATTCCTAATGTTATCCTGCTATATACTCAGAGATCCGTGCCGTGTCCACTCATCAGATTGTCTTCTTCCGGGAGCAGACAGGAACAGATGCAGAGACCCACAGCCAGACATTATGTGGAGAGAGTCTCCACCAAATCCCTCCCCTCAGAGCTCAGGGAATCCCTCTGAGATTGTAAGGGCCAGAGGAAATGAAGGACACCGGGAGAACCAGGTCCTCTGAATCAACTAGGTAAGGAGCACATGCACTCACAGAGACCGAAGCAGCAAGCTCAGGGCTTACATGGGTCTGCACGCGGTCTTCTGCATGTACATTACAGGTGTCAGCTTAGTATTTTTATGGGCCTCCTGACTGAGAATGAGTCGGTCTCTGACTCTTGTGCCTGCCACTGGACTCTTCCTTCTATTAAGTTGACATGTCCAACCTTACATACCATAGTTTCTGCTTCATTAGATTTTACCATTTTTAGTTGTAATCTCTTAGAAGTCTGTTCTTTTCTAATGAAAGGAGAGGAAAGGAGGTAGAGAGGAACTGTGAAGAGTAGAGGGAAGGAAAACTATAATCAGGATATATGTATGAGAAAGAATCTATTTTCAATAAAAAAGCAAACAAACAAGACTAAAAGTAAACCTAACAAGTTATCAACATTTTGTCAAATCTAATTTGTATTTATAGTTTCTTACATTTAAATAAGAAATTATGTCTTATAGAAATAATGGTGCTGTGGTTATATTTTTCAAAAAGTCTATCAGCAAGGAATATATACTGAGGTGATAAAGCATATGCCTAGATTTTTTTTAAAAATCATTTTTAAAGAAAGAATTAAGAAAATGTAGAAAATTATAGATGGGAACCCTACATTATTCTACTTTTGTGTATGCTCAAAAGCTTCTACCGGTCGTGATAGCACACGCCTTTAATCTAAACACTTGGGAGGCAGAGGTTGGTAGATCTCTGTGAGTCTGAGGCCAGCCTGGTCTATAGGGGGAATTCCAGGACAGCCAGGGCTACACAGAGAAACCCTGTCTCAAAAAACCTAAATAAATAAATCCAGAACATGGGGTGGGAAAGATGGCTCAGAGGCTAAGGCTGGGCACTGCTTTTAAAGAGGACTTGAGTTCTATTCCCAGCACCCACACTGGGTGGCTTACTAACTCCTATAAGTCTAACTCCAGGGATCTGACACCCTGAGAACCGACATACATGCGCTCATGCTCTCCCCTTCCTCACCCCCCATCTCTATCTCTCTCTCTTCTCCTGGACTTTTTAAACATAACAGAAAAGGAAAATGAGGCTTTGCGCAATGGGTTAGAATACTTATTGCAAAGACATACAGAAATAGAGGACACCTCTTACTAAACTTAATAAAACATTGGCCAGGAATCGAATTACAGCATGTGGAGGGGTGGGGGAGATAGGCTGGGAGTGGTAGCACACATCTTTAAACTTTAGTCCCTGCACTCAGGAGGCTGGAATGAGAGGCTCTCTGAAGTTCGAGGCCAGCCTGGTCTACATATTTAATGCCAGGCTAGGCAAGGCTACATTGAGAGCTCCTTTCTCAAACAAAACAACAATGAAAAGGCATTCAGAAGTGAGAGGCTTCAGCAGGTAAAGACTCCTGGTTCCAAACCTGAGTTCAATCCTGGGAACACACAAGGACTACTGAAAACTGTCCTGATTTCCACACCTATGCTGCTATGGCATGCACACACATACACAATAAATGTTTATAATATTTAAAAAGAAAAAAATCACTCAGCTGGAAAAAAAGCGTGTCACCTTTGCACTTAAGAGTCTGGACGTGTGTCACCATCCAAACAGCATTATCATTGATCACTGTGGGTATTTGCAGGATGATTTAATTTTACCAAGTATTTAGTCATTGGAAATGCATGGCTACTTGTTGAGTGCTTTGGGATTAGCA